CACGCAGCAGCAGCATCATCTTCAATTCAACAGCGATCACGGATCTCGCGCGCCAAGCGGTTGTTTCCGAAGACATCCCAGTCGTGCGACGCGAGGGTCGGTCTTGTCCAAAAGCTTCTACCATCCCTGGACGATGGCCCCCATTCGTCTCTTCCCTGGTTGTTTGATCTCTCCCACTGTTTCAACTCGACCAAGACAATCCCACGCAACGCAACGCAACGCAACGCAACGCAGTCGCAGTCGCAGTGAGAGGACACGAGAAGAAAAAAAGAAAAATTTGAAGAGTTGAAGAACCAACAAGTACCGACAATGCGTGGCTCATCCCTGCAAGACATCGACACTTCGCGCCCCAACAGAACCTTCAAAACGACGCGACGCAAAAAAAAGACAGGCATGCTACTCCATGAGTTCCATGGCATTGGCAGGCAGAGGCAAGCATTTTGCAGGTCCGCAAAATTGCCGTGTTTGCTCGCGCGTTCCCTTCTTTTTTTTCCCACCGAACCCCCATCTTTGGCCCATCCCACGCCGCCCACACGGCTCCTGCACCGAGTCTGCGGGACTTTCACCGAACAATGGATGGATGGGATTGCTTGTTCCAGGTTCGCCTTGGGGCGAATCCCCGACTGCCTGTCTCTCTTGGCCCTGGCCTTGGCTGAAGCTCGTCCGGGCTGTCATCGTGTCTGTTCTCCCGTGTCGTGTCCTCTGATACCGACTCTGGCAAAGATTGGCTGTACAACTCACAACTCAGACATAAGACTTGTCGTGCTCAGCCCGTGGCTCATCCTCTCGCACTCCTCCTGTGCAGGAAAAGAGAAAGAGAGAAAGAAAAAAGGAACATGCACCACAGACGCACACACATCATCTGTATCGTATCCTCCCAACTTCCAACGTCCGCGCCTCAAAGCCATGACGACCACCGCCAACTCTCCCACCCTCCAACTCAGATAGCATGCAGGTCCAGCACATCAAATCTCTTCACAGCCCTCAGCTCTGTCTGTCTGTCTGTCTCTGCCTCACTTCTTCTCCCGCTGCGAGGTCGGACGAAATGGCAGGATCCTGACTGGCTGCTCAGGAAACATACATGCAGAACCCGTATGTATGCCCACCCACCCATTCCATCCATAACCCTTAGCCTGCGCGCTACTCGCAGCACGTCAACCCCACGGCACTGAAAGCTCCATGCCCCCTGCTCGATCGAGGGGGGGATTGATGGGGATCGTGGTGGGTTCCCTGGGGCTCTGCAGGGGGCCTGTCCACAGCAAGGACCCTCCTCGTTAGCTCTGGCCCAGGAGCTCCCTTTCTCCTTTCGGCCTGCCGCTCCCTTATCGTGACAGGCATTACCTTGGCGCCGTCCATGAAGCCCAGCAATGCAGCGCGAACGGTTTCCCCTACGATGCCAGCTTCCTTGTGCCCTGAGTCGAGTCGCCTCGAGTCGCCGTTGTCGCTCCCGCCGCGCTATCTCGCCTTTTCTCACTGTGCCAAGTTGTGCATGGCGGAGTGAGCGCGACTTTCTTATGGTGGTTCAATTACGACAGATTTGCAGGATCACCCAACGGAGCCCTTGCAGAGCAGAGCTGTGCTCGTGTCGCGGCGCCGAGATGACGCTCGCCAAACCCGCGCATATGCCACGTCGGCGTCTTTCTCGTCAGTCGGTCTCTTTTCACTTTTTCACTGACTAGATGCACAATTTGTTCCGTTCAAGGTGGCCGTTGACACGGTGTACGCCGTGAACGGCCCGGCCGATATGCTGTTTGCTGTTCACTAGTCGTTGTCGTTGCTTGCCTTGCCTGCTCGCTCACTCGCTCGCTCGCCACTCCCAAAGCACCCAAACAGCCTTCATCCATCATCCATCGTCAAATCTCGCCTCCGACTTCCATGCCCGCTTCTCCGTGCCGAGTTGAGGTACGGCGCTTCCACACACCCCCAATGGACACAACCAAGGAAAAAAAAGTGACAAGGCGGGATGATGAACATGACGACCTGTAAAGGGCATAGACCATGTGGCACTTGATCAACCATCAGTCATTCAATCATTTACATGATTTTCTTAGTTGAAATTTCCCCAACAATGCATGAATTACGCTACCGCGGCGAGCGCGAGCTGAGGTGATCGATGACAGAATCGCAAGTGCTGGCAGTCTGCCTTGCTTTCTTGGCCCGCTTTGCACAGCGCGGAGGTTTCCTCGGTTTCTCAACGCTGATTCAGTGCGCACCCCGTCTAATCCCCGAACGCCGGGCATCGTCCCGGGGACCTTCAAGGAATCCAAGGCGCTCCTCCCCCATATTGGCGATTTTGGATGGGGCATTGATGGACGAGGAGAAGCCAGCCGTTGGAGCTAAAATTGCCGATATGCTCTGCTGCGCTGGCTATTCCAGGAAACCCAACCGTTTGACGATGCAGTCGCACTTGATCCGAGATGGGTTTTGGCTTGGCCGGGGAAAGGGCTTGGCAGGTTTCTCCCCGGGGTTGTTTAAGGAATTTTGGGTTAAACATGACTACGGGCCTAGCGAGAAACGACGGCAGTCGGTGGGAGAGTGGCAGTGACAGTGGCGGCAACAGCAGCATCAGCAGCATCAGATAGTTACGGCTGTACAGGCTCGACAGCCTCAGCCAAGACCCAGGCAGATCGTCGACCGCAAAAAGACGCTCAGAAAAGACTGAGTGAGAGGCAGGAGTGTTTCCAAGGAAAGACTTGGCGATGAGCTCGGGCTTCCTGCTGCAACCCTGCATGGCCATGGACTGTTGCTATCTATACCGACGACCTTGTCTTGACTTGTGTGACGCGGGACATGGCCGTGTAGTTTGACGTCGAGACGCGGTAGATGGCAGACGACACCTCTCGAGTGAGACACTGGATAAGTGTCTCTTCTTTTCGCCGCCGCGCTCTATTCCGGGGTTGGGCATTTCTTGGCACGCCTCTCAGGGCCAAGAGGATGTGTGGCCGCGTTCTACGGCAAGACGTGGACATGACAATTCAGGGCTTGGCAGCAGAGGCTCTGTTTTTTTCCCTCTGCTGAGGAGAGGAGATCCTGGTGTGCATCCTTCCGAGTTGATACGTGCGGACGGGCACTGTACTGGCAGGAAGCAGGCCTGCTGGCGGCGGATGTTGTACGGACATGAGATGTGCAGTGCATGCCTGCAAGTGCAGATGGATGCAGATGCAGCAGCAAGATGCATATCCATGTCTCCATTGCCCCCCATTGTGTGTCTCCATTCTGCTGAACGCCTCCATATCCACCGCAGAAACAGTACGTACCTTCTGGACGGACGCTCCATAGGCAGTGGTGACTAGTCAAAAGTGAGTGGTCCAGCAATTCTGCACCAAGATAAGCGTCACGTGACGTGGGTTTCGGAGCTGAAACTGTCGCGTCCAAGGGGCCGGACGAGGGAGTGGGAGGGAGGGTGGAAGGGGCCATGGGGGGCGGCCATGGGTGGAGGGGACCAGGTCCCAGATGGTCAAACGTCTCTTCTCTCCACGGAACATGTCCTTGACCAGGGGGGGTGTGTCCGGGTCCGCGCTCAACCTGGCCTAGTACGTAGTCTTCTTCGTAGCAACAACGGGGGCTCTCGATGAAAGACTGGAGTCTTTTTGTTCTTTTCAACGACCACTTGCGCGGGGGGTTGGCCCGTGTCGAGGTACGGATCCAATACCACACTTGTTCGACGAAATCTCGGAGTTGTGTCTGTGTCAAGTCCTCCTCTTTTTTTTCTTCTCCATACTCTCCCATACCGTACTCCATATGCCTGGTCTCCTCCTCTCTCGCTCTCTCGCTATTGCTGGGCCGGCCGGCTGGCTGGCTGGCTGGCTGGCTCCAGGCTCGGCTCCAGGCTCCTCCCACTGTTTCTTTCATTGAATTGAAAGGGCCCTTACCCGTTCAAGGTACACTCATACTACCACTGAGGCATTTTATTTCCCGTACTCAGAGACCAACACACTACCCACAACTCCACGCTCTTTTCCCGCACATCGTCAAGTCACTTCAGAGTTCTTCCTCGAAACGCACGACTCAAGCTGGCTTCCCCTTGTTGTCAGGACCGCATCCTCACATCCTGGCAGATGAGACAGCGAGTTGTCTCTGTCTTGATAGGTCGGCCCGTCTAATGGGGCCTGGCAAATTTGCGCTAGAATTGGCCATCTCTTCCAAAGAAGCAGGTCGGCTATTGCTTGCCTTGCCTTGCCTTGCCTCGCCTTTACCTCGCTCTTCCTTGCCCGGCGGTTCCTCTCTTCTGCCGTGGTGGATGGCACCAAGCTCGTACTGTGAAGGGACCGCTACCTTGTACGCAGTCCTGCTCTGTCTCTCTCACCCTTCACACCGTCCCATCTTCTGCCGTTCTGTCTATACGTACTGCGTGCTGCTGGTGGCTGCTACTCACTGCTGCTGCTGCTCACTATGCTGCTGTCCCGTCGTCGCTGATTGCTCGAAATAGCATCGATGTCGCCCGGTCACAGTGTGTGGAGTTTTCCCTCACCCGCATCTGTTTTGATGCTTGCAACTTCTTGGCGTTGATCCGAGCAAGACGGGGTACGCAGCTACACGCCGGTCCCTTGCTCACACGCCGCCGCGGTATCTCTCGTGTCTCTGGCTGGAGTCTGGCCGCCTTGCCTTGCCTCCATCTGGGCTGGCCTCTACTCGTGTACATACACTCTCATACGCGAGTGTGTGTGTGCCGTCAGTCCTGTGCTTGCCGCGAGTTGTGCTCAGTCTGCCTTCCCGGCATACCTTGGTCCCATCTTCTTCTTTTTTTGTGCGCATCCGCGGAAGTCCTCACCCACTCACCCCGTCCGGCCTCGCCGTTTGACAGATAATATAATATGCCCTTCCTCCCACCGTGATTCATGTCTTCTTAACTCAGCCTTTTCACCTCTTCACCCTTCCGTCACTCCTTCCCCCCCTTCTTTGAACCCCTCCTACCCTCAATCTCGACCTGTCCTGCTTGCGTACTCTTGTTGGCTAGTTGGCTCGTGTTGGCTACAGCTGGACTGTAATCCCTCGTCACCATGGCTCCCTTCAAAATGGCCGGTCTTATCGGCAAGGGTGGCAACAAGCACTACCCTACGGCCATTAGCACCGAGGAGGACGACCAAGACCTGGAAACGGGCAACTTCCTCCAGGAACGCCAAAGGAACAACCGGGTTGAGGGTGCTCAGGGTGAAAGTGGTTCTAACGAAGAATACAAGTCGTACGTCTTACACCACCCATTGGCTCTCTCAACCGCAGCATCACTAACTCAATCCGCAACAGTCTCGTCCGCTACATCGACACATACCGTGATCCCAATGCGGAAGTTGAGGAGATTGAGGATTCTGGCGCCTCAGCAAGCCACCCGTCATGGATGTTCTGGAAGAAGAAGGCCGACGGTACCAGCGGCCAGAGCGCCTTCGTCACGCCTGCCGACTGGCTCAACACCGACATGAAGACGGGTCTTGACCCAATGGAAGTCGAGCGTCGCAGGAAATACACTGGCTGGAACGAGCTCTCCACCGAGAAGGAGAACATGTTCCTCAAGTTTGTTGGTTTCTTCCGTGGTCCCATTCTCTACGGTAAGCTGCTCCCCCAAGACGCCGTGGCCACGCCCGACTTTCACAGCCTGGCATGACTGCATGAAACATCCCCGACCAAAGGCTAATTGTCCAATGCAGTCATGGAGGTTGCTGCCATCCTCGCCTTTGCTCTGCAAGATTGGCTCGACGCCGGTTTGATTGTGGCAATTCTGTTGCTCAACGCCGCTGTCGGTTGGTACCAGGAGAAGCAGGCTGCCGACGTCGTCGCCAGCTTGAAGGGTGACATTGCCATGAAGGCGCTTGTCATTCGCCAGGGAAGAGAAGAGGAGATCCGCGCCCGTGAGCTCGTGCCCGGTGACATTGTAAGTCATCTCATCACCAGCCAGCCCTTCCGCGCCCCGCCCTTCTGGTTCGCGACAAAGTCAATTTGGCTGACACAGAACTTCTCAGATCATTGTTGAGGAAGGCCACGTCGTCCCCGCCGATGCCCGTCTGATTTGCGACTATGAGAACCCCGCCGGATACTCCGCCTACAAGGCCGAACTCGAGGCCCAGGATGTCATGTCTCCCAACCGTGAGAAGTTCGACGAGGACGGCGAGGAGGGAACTCCCCAGCTCGGCCACGCCATCATCGCCGTCGACCAGTCTGCCATGACTGGTGAGTCTCTCGCCGTCGACAAGTTCATGACCGACACCGTCTACTACACCACCGGTTGCAAGCGCGGCAAGGCCTACTGTATCGTCACCCACGGCGCCCAGGCTTCCTTCGTCGGAAAGACCGCCTCTCTCGTTCAGGGTGCCCAGGACCAGGGCCACTTCAAGGCTGTCATGGACTCTATCGGTACTACGCTCCTCGTTCTCGTCGTCATCTTCATCCTCGCTTCCTGGGTTGGTGGTTTCTACCGCAACATCGAGGTCTCCGAGGAGGGCTCTTCCGTCAACCTGCTCCACTACGCTCTCATTCTCCTCATCATCGGTGTCCCCATCGGTCTGCCCTGCGTTACCACCACTACTCTCGCCGTCGGTGCCGCCTACCTCGCCGAGGAGAAGGCTATCGTCCAGAAGCTCACCGCCATCGAGTCTCTCGCTGGTGTCGACATTCTCTGCTCTGACAAGACCGGTACCCTCACTGCCAACCAGCTTTCCGTCCGCGAGCCTTTCGTCATGGAGGGTGTTGACATCAACTGGATGATGGCCGTCGCCGCTCTCGCTTCTTCCCACAACATCAAGGCCCTCGACCCCATCGACAAGATCACCGTCCTCACCCTCAAGCGCTACCCGAAGGCCAAGGAGCTCATCGCCGACGGCTGGAAGACCGAGAAGTTCACTCCCTTCGACCCCGTCTCCAAGCGCATCACCACCATCGCCACCCACCGTGGAGTCCGCTACACCTGCGCCAAGGGTGCCCCCAAGGCCGTCCTCGCTCTCACCGACTGCACCGAGGAGCAATCCGCTCTCTTCAAGGAGAAGGCCGCTGAGTTCGCCCGCCGTGGTTTCCGTTCCCTCGCCGTCGCCGTCAAGGAGGAGGATGGCCCCTGGGAGATGCTCGGCATGCTGTCCCTCTTCGACCCCCCTCGTTCCGACACCGGCCAGACCATCCTCGAGGCCCAGGCTCTCGGTCTTCAGGTTAAGATGCTTACTGGTGACGCCCACGCTATCGCTGTCGAAACCTGCCGCATGCTCCAGCTCGGTACCAAGGTCTACAACTCCGACAAGCTCCTCCACTCCGACATGGCCGGCACTTCCATCCACGATCTTTGCGAGCGCGCCGATGGTTTCGCTGAGGTTTTCCCCGAGCACAAGTACCAGGTCGTCGAGATGCTTCAGCAGCGTGGTCACTTGACTGCCATGACTGGTGACGGTGTTAACGATGCCCCCTCCCTGAAGAAGTCCGACTGCGGTATTGCTGTTGAGGGTGCCACCGAGGCTGCCCAGGCTGCTGCTGATATCGTCTTCCTCGCCCCCGGTCTCTCCACCATTGTTTCCGCCATCAAGCTCTCTCGCCAGATTTTCCAGCGCATGAAGGCCTACATTCAGTACCGTATCGCTCTTTGCTTGCATCTTGAGATCTACCTCGTCTCCTCCATGATCATCATCAACGAGACTGTTCGCGCCGACCTCATTGTCTTCCTCGCCCTCTTCGCCGATTTGGCCACCATCGCCGTTGCTGTAAGTTCACTTTGCTCATTCTCACACTACCTTTCAGTATCTAACATGACTACAGTACGACAATGCCCACTTCGAGAAGCGTCCCGTCGAGTGGCAGCTGCCCAAGATCTGGATCATTTCCATCGTCCTCGGTGCCCTCCTTGCCGGCGGTACCTGGGTCCTCCGCGGCACCATGTACCTCACCGACGGCGGTGTCATCCACGAGTACGGCTCCATCCAGGAGATCCTCTTCCTCGAGATCACCCTGACCCAGAACTGGCTCATCTTCGTCACCCGCGGCTTCGAGACCTTCCCCTCGTTCCAGCTCATCGGTGCCATTGCCGCCGTCGACGTCCTCGCCATCCTCTTCTGCGTCTTCGGCTGGTTCTCCGGCGGCCGCGGCGAGCCCGCCTCCCCGCCGTCCCTCAACCGCTTCCTGTCCGACAACGGCCGCACCGACTTCGTCACCGTCTGCGTCGTCTTCGTCTACTCCGTCGCCGTCACCATCGTCATGGCCCTGGTCTACTACATCATGACCAACATGCAGAGCCTCAACGACATGGGCCGCAAGAAGCGCAGCGTCACCGACACCATGATCGAGAACGTCCTCACTCAGCTGAGCAAGGTCGCCCTCGAGCACGAGAAGGACGACAAGGGCGAGAGGTTCTACATTGCCAACCGCACCGTTGTCGAGGAGGGTTAAACCGCATGATCTCGCAAATTAAGAGTCAAGCGTCAGAAGAGCGTGCGAAAAGAGACATGACTTCAGCAAGAGCGTCTTTTTCCCAACCACAACATTCTGCAAATTACTTTTTTCTTTTAACTTGGGTTCAAAAAAAAACACATCTTTTTCGTCACATCATAGAGAGAAGAAGAAGAAAAGGTTCAAAGGGGTGGAAAGGGGGTTTACTAGATGACGCGCTTTCGGTAATACTGCGTACATCACAACTGTCACTAATGGCCCCCGATTTTTTCTAATTGTAACAAAAGACCATTGTTCTGGCGTTGGTCGGGTCGGTCGGATAATCGAATCAAATTTTTCTATGTTCTAAACAAACATACCTTTTCTCTCTTGCATCGTGAATTATGACTTGACAATTGATGTTCCCAAACTAACACAACAGCAACCAACTTCACAGAGTTTGGAACGTTTCTCTCTTCGGATTGGTCTCAAACAACACGGAAAAAGCTGGGCGGGACCGGCGAGGCTTTGTCTGGTCTTTCCGCCCTGTCCCCAAAAGCTTACGAACACTCCCGGAAGTCTCCTTCTCTCGGGCAAACTCCAGTTGGCTGGTTCGCCGCGCTTATCTCTCGTCACATGATTCGCAACTCCGGCTGTTTTGCAAGTCGTGCGTGGGTGGGCTCCCGGACCTTTCATGCGTTGGGCAGTTTTTTCCCCTTCCCACTCCGCTACTCGTCTTCCTCCGGCCGAAGTTTGAAGGAGTAGTCGAGTTGGCCCGAGTTCCCACCATCCCGCCCCCCATCGCAGTCAGCAATTTCGCCTCCGCCGACATCCGCCTGGCCCCGACCTCGCTCAGGAGGTGTTGGACGAGTCGAGCATTCTGCCTCTGGGGAGGTGCGGATCTCGGGGTGGTCAGTGTTGATCCGTCTCGTACAGAAATTCTTTCGGAGGGGGGGTGGGAAGGGACGGATGATGACGATATTTCGTGGGAAGAGCAAGTTTCCCGGGATTCTCAACGTCGCGAAAAGCACGTGTGTGTCGTGTTGTGTAGCGTATGCAGTGCTTTGGTCTCTCGGAAAGTCCGGTGTATGCGTTATGGGATTTGAGATTTGGGACTTCTCTTTCTACCCCTTGCCCTCGTGTTGAACACGGCGCTTGGAGAAGGGAATACGTGAAGGACGGGAAGGAATCACGGCGGTTCGTCGTTCACATACCCTTCACGGCCAATCGGTGTCGACGAGTCGGGACTGAACGAACACTGTGCCCGAGAACGGCATATTGCGTGCTTTGGAAGCGGAAAAGGATGGATGTTTTTTTTCGTTGAGGACTCTGGGAGGAACCTGAATCCATGTTCGTGGTCAGAGACGTTGACAACCTCGTGGATCCCTGGAGGGTTGTTTGGAGATCCGCCCCTCTCCGGTGCTGACGTTCAGGCTGTGCGAGGGACCTCTCGTATCGCCACGGTGTCTCCTGTGGTTTTCCGTGTTGGAGGCGTTCGCGGGACTCTGGCCGGCGGACTACTGTGTTCATGGGATATCCCTTGCCGTCGAAACTTCTGAGAATTTGCCATTTGAGGTAATGGGGAGATTGGATGCTGTGGCGGTATCCTGCACCGCATGTGAGGCCCCGATGTTGGCGCCCACAGCTCATTTATTTCTTCTGCGTCCACAATCGACTTCATGTTTCAAGATCATATACGCAGGTTTCTTGCCCGCTAGCTACACAACTTTTCGATGAGTTTAGGTGCATTCTTGATGTCCTGGCCCCTCTCATCGCCCGGAATAAATTGGGTCTTGGCTACATGTTTGAGCTTAGAACGTGATCTATAGATGGCGGAAAACCTCAGTGAAGAGTGTACTCATCCATAACTAATCTCCAGGAGCTCCTTCGAAGTTTCAGAAAGAGAGGCTCGACCTGATCGATACATCTCACTGAACATACCTCAATGCTCATTAACCATGCATTTACTCGGCTGTATTCACATAGACCAAGTTTGCCACGTTCTTTCAGTGGGATGTATGCTCTTCAACTGGTAAGAATAGACTAGTCCGCGAGCGCTTGTAAGAGGTTACCGATGACGCCTACTATTCAGCAACGACTCAGTCATATTCCGATGTGGAAGTGAAACAACTACTTGAATACACACATGTGTACATTTGCTGTCTGTGACTCGTGTTTCTTATTCACGCATCGCTCTGAGGCAGTAGGCCACGGACTTGGCAGGGTCTTTCGACAAATAATGGAAATGTATGAACCAAAGATTCCTGTCGGTCGAATTATTGTTGTGGTCTGCTCCAAGGCCTACCTTTGTCTGACCGGCTGCGTTCGCATAGAGCAAGGGCTAGTGATGCATCTCTGTGACCCTGAGACCGGTGAATGACGAACAAACTACAAAGGAGCTTCGCATGAAGCATACGATTGTAGGATAGCAAAGGCTTTAGCAAGTCATAGATAAGCGTATGAATGTCGCTGCTGGCCTGCGGCTTAGGCAGGAAGATAGACCTAGACGGGTTTTGGCCCTCAGAAACAGCCGTCGAATGAGCCTGGGACCTTGATCGAGGCCAGTTCAAGAGGCTATCACGGCTAGTGTACACTGCTCGCTAGATGTTTTGAAACCATCTAGCTAGAGTTTTTGATAACTGAAGTGAAGATCCTTAAACCGCCAAGGCTTGAACGGCGTGCCGCCGATTACCAACCTCCTTCCAAGAGCCGAAAAGAAACCAGCGAGTAGACGGAGAATCAGAACCATTCATACAAAGAATCATCATCATCGTCATCGCCGTTGTCTTCTTCTTCATCACCCTCAAGATCAATGTGGCCAGGAAGACTCCACTTCAGCCCTTGTTCCTCGCAAACATTGCGCAGTCTCCGCATGCTGCGCGCGAACTCGTCACCATATTCATGGCTTATCGTTCTCGCGTCCAACGCAAACTCCTGCAGCTCCGGAGTCCCAGTTTTCCAGCCGCCGCCCAGGAACGGCCCCAGAAGCGGCACGTAGACCTGGCTCGGACATTCTTCAAAGGCGACGAAGTCCCACAAACTGTCGTTGATAGTGAGGCGCTTGAGCTTCCGGGGCAAAACCTCTGACAGTAACGGCAGCGCTGCCAAATCTCTGTCCTGGCCGTAGAAGACGCATAGAGGGATGTTCAGCTCTTCTAGCACCTCGAGGTCTCGGAGAGAGTCGAATCTTCCCTTGACTAAGACGCCCAAGTTGACAGCATCGGGGTAGTCTTCGTCGCTAATATTATATTTGACTGTCAAACGCAGCAGCGTGCTCCGTACATGACGGAGTGCCTGCCGCAGAACAGTTGTATCCTGGACATACAACTCGGGAATGAAGCTGTCCAAGTAGAGGGATCTGAGACTCGGTGTTCGCTTTAGCAATGCTTCGATGCTGCTGAAAGTTGCCACCGAGCAATCGAGACGTAGGCTCGTCAGACTCGCCGCATTGGGAGGCGCAGGAAACGGCCATGCGACGTCGAAGCGTTGAGCGTCTTCATCCCAGGCCTCGATGCGAGGAGCTCTCCCCAGACGCAGACTTTTGATCTTGGGCAGATACAAGGACAGCATGACGAGCTCTTTCGGAATTTGATCCCAATAGTGAGAAACATCCCACCTATAATAGCAGGTGACGTCAAGCTTTGTGAGGTTGCCGAACGTCGGGGGGCGAGTGTCGTTCTTCAGACCATGGCGGAAGACCGCCGTCAGCCACTTGGCTCCCAGCAGGACGAATTCGTTGTCTACCGTCAGACTCTCCAGCTGTTCACATTGCGCTAGGATCAGTTCTGAGGCGGCGGTAAGGTCGCTATCGAAGATCGCCGTGATCCATTCTGCAGCACACGAGTATTGCATCTCGTGGACAGCTTTCCTGACCAGCGTGTCGCTCATGTCGCTGGCAACAAGCGAAGGGCCGGTCCATTTGGTGACGATCCGCGCCCGCTCGTCGGCCAAATAGTCATAACGGCGCAACCCTCCTGTAAACAGCCGCACGCTTTTGATGTGTCTTGTAAGGTGAGGGCTTTCCAGGACGGTTCGAAGAAGCAAAGTGATTCTTGGTAGGCGATCATTGGTTGAGGCGTTCGAAGTGATGACAACATCGCGATAAGCCAGGGGCAGAGAGACTGAGCGTAGATTCCGGCATGTTTGTGAAAGGCTGATGAGATCGGCGATGGGAATCTCGAGGAGACTCGCGTCTAGAAGCTCGTTCGGAAGTGTCGCCAGAGAAGCCATGATATGCTGAGCTGGGGAACTGCAAATAGTGTCAGTTGACAAACTACCCATTAATTATACAATCCGATTCGTCTAACTTGATGTAGATGGTCTGCTGTCATGCCCTTGTGCTTGTTGGACAAGGAAGCGCCAAGAGAACGGCCCGAGTGGCCGAATTCATCCTTAGGATGGGAAAGGAAGCACCTAGAAGTTGGTGGTTTTCACACCCATCTCCCCGAAGTACATGGACCGTTGCGACGCGTCCCAGGGGCACAGCAAAAGACACAGAGAGACGTCAAATGAGACAGTAAAAAGTCGTTATAAAGCCGTGAACCGAGCACAAGTCTAAGACAAAGTCATTCTGCCACATTGACATGGCAGCCAGGAGAACACTCCTCAAAGGTAAACAAGCCTTGTGATATCAATCAGCCAACCATCCACCACAAATCGCCGCAACGCCATGCCCGGTTGACCCAATCACTTCCCAGATGAGCCCGGCTTCCTCATACCCATATTACGAGCAGTGCCACATACAACTTCACCAATACCCAGAGTCTACTTGCCGGCGGCAACGCCCTCGACGAAGCTGAGGGCCTCCTCTGTAGGAACGCAGTCGATGGAACTCGTCTTGCTGTGGAAAGTCACACCGTAGCACTTGTCGGCGACGTGAACGATCTCGGGACGGAAAGTGGTGCAAATGAATTGCGTGCCGGCGTCCTGAGAGATGGACTGGAGAAGGCTGGCGACGGCGGTACGGTACTGCGCGTCCAAGTTGGCGTCGACTTCGTCAAAGATGACCATGGGACTGCTCTCCGTCTGCTGGAGGGCGAAGATGAGGCACAAGGCACACAAACCTGAATTGGCAAGTTAGTAACTGGGTCAGCAAAGGGATGAGGGCTGGCTTACTCTTCTGACCACCACTGAGTTGCTGGATTCTCTGCTGCTCGTCGAGAGTCTTGGAGTTGAAGGACACGCTGATACCAACACCAGTGTAGTTCTCGACACTGCCTCTAGCTTCTTCGTCAGACTCGTCGGGGTCCACACGACGGTCGGTACGGCGCTGAATAACCAAGCGACCGTGTCCGGCCGGCACGAGCTTCTCGAAGATGGTGGCAAACTCGCGGGACACCTGCTTGAATGTACGCTCAATAGCCTCATCCTTACGTTGATCAAGGTGGGCAACGAGCTCCTCAATGGACTCCTGAGACGCATCGAGTTCCTTGCGACGCTTGAGAAGCTGATCCTGTTGCTGAGTAAAGCTGTTGTACTGCTCGAAAGCCTTCTTGTTGACGTGCTGGAACTTCTTCAGCGCGTTGCGGACCTTCTTGAGCCTGGTGTCGATCTGTCGCGGGTCCATGTTTTCGTACTTGTCAAAGGCCTCTTCAGGCAGAACGCCAAGGTCTCTGATGGCCTTCGCGGCATCGGCAGCCTGCGCCGTGTACACAGCCTTTTTGGACATGCTCTTTTCGATCGCACCGCGCTGCTTGGCTTCCCTCGCGGCGACCGTGGCGCGGATCTCCTCCTGTTCCGCCTTCTTGGCTTCCCGACGGTCGAGCTTTGAACCAAGTTCTTCAATTCTAGCCTCGATCTCTTGCATCTTGGCCTCGATTGCCTTGGTCTCCTTCTGGAGCTTCTTGAGTTCGCGCTGAGCCTCCTTAAGACTGCCGGACTCGCCAGACGAAGTGTTGTTCTCGAAAGCTGCGCTGTTCAGCTGATCGAGACGCAGCTGCAGGTTCTGGTTGATGTCTGTCTCGAGAATCTGCTTCCGACTTTCGGCATCACGTCTCTTCTTGCTGGCATCGTTCCATTCCTTCTGGAGCCTCTGCACTTGAGCGTCCAACTCAACCAGCTGTTTCTCCTCAGCGTTACTGAGGGCCTTCTTGAAATCAGACGCCAATTCAGCCTCATCAGCTGCCAGGCTCTCCGTGAACACCCTCATGTCCCGCTCGACTGATTCGCGGTGTCTCAGGGCGTCGCTCAAGCGCTTCTTCTCATGCTCAAGCTGGAAGTTCTTGTTGTTCAGCTCGTGTTTCAAAGGATCAAAGCCGGCCTCCAGTTGCCGCAGCTTCTGCGCAGCCTTCTGGACGTCACCCAAGGCGCGGGTGATTTCTTGATCCTTCTGCTCGATCAGAGTCCTGAACTCGTTGGCTTTTTCAAGCAGACGTTCGTACTCATCGCGCCACTTGCTGACAGCCTGAACTCCCTCGAGCCTAGATCGCCTGGGATCAATGTATCCACCAGTCATGGCACCTCTCTTGTTGGTCGTGTCACCGTCGAGGGTAATAGCGTCGACGCCGTGACTCCTCGCGTACTGGCCTCCTATGCTCAGGTTCGGGCACACGACGACCTTGCCGAATACTTGCTGGAATGCCTTCTCGAATGTGGGATCGTAGTTGATCTTGCTCAAGAGAGGGACGATACCGTCTGAAGATCTTGGCATGTTGATGTGCCTTGGGTGAAGCCGGTTGAGTGGCATGAATGTGAGCCTACCGCCGTATGACGAGCGCAGGTGGTTCGTCAAGTATGTCGCCGTTTGGTCGGTGTCCACAATGTAGTGGAACAAGCTGTTGCCGGCAATCTGCTCGACGGGAAGTCGGTAGGTGTCGCTGACCTCAAGCAGCTCAGCCATCGTCCCGTAGGCACCAGGGAGGTCCTCGGTGGCCTTCAGTCGACGGATGGTAGCAAGACCCTGAGCGGTGTCTCTGTCCATCATCGTGCTAAGCTCGCGGTCTGCGCGCTCCCTCTCCTGTCGCGCATCCGACAGAACGGTGTCGAGCTTCTCCTCCTGACGGACTAGCGCCTTCCTCTCATCGTCGAGCTTGTCCAGAATCTCCCTCGCTTTATGCTCTTCCTCTGCAAGCTCGTGGCGAGTTCCATTGAAGTTCTGCAGCTGCTCTCTGAGATTGGCAACCTCACTTTCTAGTTGCTTGATGGCGTTCTCGGTTCTGGTGACATCCTCGTCGGCCTCCATCTTGTTCGCCTTGTGGCTCATGAGTCTGGAGTGGAGATCCTCGATTTCGGCTCGCAAGTACTTATCACGCTCGCCCTTGTTCTTAAATTGGGATCCACGGCTTTGCTTGGTGAACAGACGGTTCCGTGCAGCTTCGGCAGTGTCCAGCTGCTGCTTCTCCGCCGATTCCTGGGCCTTTCGTCTGATGAACTCCGGGACGATGCTGTTGAGTTCCTGCTTCTTCGCGGAGATCTCCTCGATGGTTGCTGCGAGGTCAGCCTCGTGTTGCTGCTGGGCTTGAACAGCCGCTGACTGTCCGTCAGACAACGTCTTGACTTTCAGCTCTGCCTTCGCCTTGGCCTTTGCCGTTTCACGACGATCCTCCTCGAGTTGGCGGCGCTCGACCTTGGCCATATCCATCTCTTTCCTCAGCTTGTGAATTTCGGCCTCAAACTTGGTGACAAGCTTTTCCGCCTCCTTCAGTTCTGATCGAATTGAATCGGTGTTTTCTAGACCATTCTGACGAATGTTTTCGATGCGGTCAAGTTGTTCCTGAATTTGCTGCTGCTCCTGGTAGTAAAGCGCATACTCGAGACACCTGCGCTCGCGATCCTTGTCTTGAAAGCCTCGAAGTTCTTCCTTCTCTTCCTCCAGCTCGGCCAGGCGCTCCTTGATGTAACCCAAAAGCTCGTCAATCTTTTCTCTCTTGTTGTTCGTTTCGTTCATGATCTTCAGCGACTCGGTTCGACGCGCTTCGTAGACCTGAGTACCCGCAACCTCCTTCAACAATGTGAGTCTGTCGGACTCCTTCATGTTCGTCAACGCCGTGACGCGACCCTGAGGGACAATGTAGTAAGGATTCGACCTCGAGAAGCCTGCTGCCTCGAGAAGGTTGATGACGTCGGTCTTTGTAACGACTTTGCGATCGACTGAGTACTCGTCCTTCTTGGTTCCGATGGTGCGGCGCAGAATGACCTCTTTGCCTCCGCCGTGGAAGCGCTCGTCACTGTTGTCGAAAATGATCTCGACGTAGGCCGACATGACGGCGGATCCGGAACCTTCGTGCAGCAGGGCCTGCCGCTCTTCGCGGGTCATCTGGGTATAGGCATCGCTGAGGACGAAGCGGATCGCAGCGAAGAAGTTACTCTTGCCGGATCCATTGCGACCGACGATGACGTTCGTGCCGGGGGAGAAGGGCTCGATGACGGTCTGGTCCTTGTAGCTGCGATCGGGTCAGCGGGGTGAGGTTGGGCGATTGTTGTCGCAAGGGGCGCACAAACCTCTTGAAGCCCTGGATGATAATCTGTTTAATGTACATGGTTGCGGAGAGGGTGCGGCCTCAAGGGCAGCGAGATTGCGCGGTTGAAGTCGCTGACGGGCTTGATCAAGCGTCGCGCAAGATTTTCATCGGTTTGCCCAGGAGCTGCGACGGGTTGTTGGTGATGGTGGGGATTGACGCGTCTGGGACGGGAACCGCGATACCCTCGACGTGAGATGGAGGCGCGTCGAATCTGGGGTGCGCTCATTTGGCAGGTGGCGCGTGCCTGAGGAACAAGTGCCCGGCTTGAGTGGACAGTGCGGAACCCGTGCTAGACAGTGCATATACTGTGACTCTACCCCGGGTTTGTATATTAATCGGCCATGTCAACGTCCCGGCCAGACGGTTGCACGACGCTCATCCCGTCCCGCTTAAGGAGCCTAATAACCACTGCATACTAGTGGCTCAAGA